ACTGTCTTAAACACTTATTAAAATATTGATCGATTCATTTAACCTTTTCAGCAGCAATGGGTAAATAATATCCTGTTAAGCAGAAGAATAAGAATAAATGAAGAAACTGAATTTTGGAAGTTATTTTAAAGAAGTCAGGATTCAAACTCAGGAAGTTTTACTCTAGGGTTTGTGATTTTTACTCTGTTATAAATATTCTAGAATTCTTGTTATTTAGTTTGATCTTTATTTTATTCTTCTGATGTTATCTTGCCCGCACAGCAAAGCCTGGCAAGCTACCTGTGATGTATTTGATATGCCAAATACAGTAACAATTGTCATAATGGAGACGTTACTGGGCCCGCTCGAGCAAATTGATGAACAACGGGAGGACAGTGACAGTGACAGTGACAAAAGAACAAGAATTCAGGAACAGCAGTTGGAAGTAATATACAGAGAAAGGTGTAGGGAAAGGGCACTGCACTTCCATGTTTTCTCCTGTGCATTCAATTCCAGAAGCTCCATATGTTCACCAACCATCAAACTCTGTCACCTGTGTTTTGGGCTTTTGATTACAGTAATTGGAAATTGAATTCAATCTTTAATCCCTGGACTTTTCCAAATTATTTTGATGAAACTGATAGTCCAACTTTCTAAATTTGTTTTTATTTGTATCTACACTTGGCTGTGCTTAGGGCTTACTCTTCACTCTAAGCACAGATATCACTCCTACCCATGCTCAGGGAGGGAGGTCATACTGGATGTCTGGGACTGAACCAGGATCAGCTGTAGGCAAAATAAGTAGTACCCAACCCACTATAATATCTCTCAATCCCTAGGCAAAAAATCTTCTAAATTTAGGTTCCTTTGGCTACCATTCCCCACAGTTATGGGATTTAACCTCATTAGCATAAATCTAGGTGTAGTTGAAAGACAGATCTAATGAACATAATACACCTTAATTGCCTTTGCCGTTTTGGAAGTTCCAAAGATTTTAGGAAATTGTCACACACACAGGATCCATGTCAAACAGACCTTTCTTGACATAAATAAAAATATCACTTTACTGGAATCCTTTGTGGAGTGAGAGATTGATGAAGATATTCGGTTCAGAAAAGTATAGAGATGATAAGGAAGAACAGTTGCAGCATATTCCCTACAAATCCTCCTAAGATACTGAAAATAATCACCAAATTTACTTATTGTTAATGGCAGAAGGGCCCTCTATTTCAAACAAGGAGCCTCTATCTCTAAATAGAGCAGTATTTATGATTTTTCTCTTATTGATTTATTGCATAGTGTCAATCACAAGATGGAAGAAATTGCAGGAAAATAGAAAATGATTGTAGAGTTGGAGTTGAAAGACCTAAAAGTTTGATCTGGTGAAGATTTTAAAAAGCATCTCAGATCTCTGTTTCTCAGTGTATGAGATATGGTGGGGTGGAAGTAGACATTGAGATGTGAGAACTTGATGATTATATTAGTCTGAGGTTAGTATATGCTCATTTTTTTAAAAGATCTTATGATAGTGTTTGGAATAAACAGAGAGGAGTATGCCACAAGGGGAATAATTTTAAGGATTGGAAAATTGAAAGCAAATAAACTCAAGGAAAAAGTCAATAAATAATAATTTACACCAAAGAAAACAGTAATATTTTGTCTTTCAATCTGTGGTTTTCTAAATATGTTTGATTGATAGATTTATAGATACAATCTTCCAAAAGAGATCATGCTTTATTTTGGCTGATGTTTCTATTAAAATTATTGAAAGCTAAACACTAACATCCAAATTAATAGCAGAATACCCTACAATTTAATAGCTAACTTATCACGTGGTCATAGCATAGCTTTTACACAGTGATCAAGAGAAAAATCAACAAACTTAACCTCACATGCTGAATTAGAAGGGGCACATTCACATTTCCTCTTTATATCCATGTTAAAGATAAAGAAAGTAGGAGATCTTTAAACACTACGGTCTCATATCTGTCACAGCCATATCTTTTCAGCAGTAGGGAGCTCATTTTTCAAGGCTACCAATCCATTAACCTTCACAAAGAACAAAAATAAAGCAAAATAAACATTCCCTGGAGAAACTGCACTCTTTGTAATCTCGCTTATATATCTTACAATGGGGATTGGAAGATACCACTGAGATCTCTATCTCCCCAGGCACACAAAATGATACAGGCACTCTGAAACAGATATATATATATATATATATATATATATATATATATATATATATATAATGTCTTGTGGAACATATTGTGAACAAATATGTGATTTCTTTTAAAAAATGAGAATAGGGTTAGGAAAAAAAAAGTAATAACATGTCTTCCCTATCTGTCTGAACCTTTGATCTATAACTGCAAGGGTTAAAACATGACCCCATTTATTTACTTATTTTTATGTTTAGGACTACATTCAGTTGTCCCTTCTCCCTGTAACCATCTGCTGTATATAGCTGGAACTTTTTGTTTCCTGATAAACACACTGTCAGAAAGTCAGAGGCCATGAGGCCATGGAGGGAAGGATGCAGAGAGTTCTTTTTTTTTTTTCTTTTTTTTTTGCTGTTTGGCTGGGAAGGTAACTATAATACAGGTGAATGGTTGCTCTTCCTTTAAAATCGTAATATATCAGTATAAAATATAGGATGTGGGAAATACATTTGCCACACAATTTTAATTTCTTAAAGTCTCTGCATTCATTAAATACAGTAATTATAATTTGATATGGCATGACAGGATTACTTTTTTTAATGTAAAATGATTACATAAACCTAAGCCAAAAATTTTAAAGAGTATAATCATGATATTTGTTAAGTTTAAATATTACTAACTGAAGCAGTACAAAAGCTTAGGCTGACTTATCTGGGTTCTACCTTCAAGAAGCTGATAATACAGATTTAGAAAGTTAGACTAAAATACTGACGGCATACCTTATTTAAAAGTCATGTATTTTTACAAAACCATTTGAACACCAGGAAACAGGAGAAAGGGTAAATGATTTACAATGTAAGGTGCCAGATCAAAAGAATGTGAGTACAAAGGGATATGAGAAAGAAGGAAACTGAGTCAAAAAGAGACACATTTGAACATTGACTGTGCCAGAGGTCATATTCAAAACATTGATCAATTGACTTGGCAGGAACAAGAGCAAGGAGTTTGGCATAAGTTCTCTACATCTTCTAATGCCGGATTTTGGTTTGATTTTTGACTGTTAGAATACAGAAAATTTTTGCAGTGTAGTGGCTCAGGGAGCTACTAGGATACTTGAGGAGTTAAGTTTTACACAAACATTTCTTGACTCATCTCTTAAAGTAGTTTGAATTACTTATCAGTATGGAGATAATATAAAATATTCACAACCAGAATAGTGATATTCACCTTAACTTGCTGAATAGTTTTTCTGCTTGGCACTTATTGTGTACCTTTATTATTTTTAATTAAAACTTATAAGATTAAGACAACTGAGAAAAAAGAAAGTGGTGAGTTTATGTAGGTTTTTCTCTACCCCTCTACAACTCTTTCTAAGCAAATGGGTAATTTGGACATCTCCTTGTCTTTTCATTAGGTTTATCACAAACTTTTCTATAACCTTGGAGTTTGTGGAAATTGCTAGAAAGAATAGGGACTGATGTAATGTAAGACAAATGTAGAAAATAGGAAGAGTTTACATTCTTTCACATACAGGTCAAAGGTGAACTCAGGTGAGAGAAGGTACAGCTCTAGCTGAAGGATGCTCATGATAGTATCTTGGACATTCTTTCCCCCTTCTTACTGCACAAATTCTTGTGTGTAAATAATACAAAAGTATCTCTGAATCAAGCTGCAATAATACAGCCCTAATTATGATACCTTGCAGCAACAATATGAAAATTTGTTAGTTTAGCAATGGAACATCTTTTGTAATTCCAAAGAAAGCTATTCATTTTTTATTCATCACAATTATCTAGAGTGGGGAAATGATTGCTCTATTTAAAAATGGTCATTTGTTTGCCTCTCATACTTGATATGTATGTAGCTCATTTACATGTCTGAAAGATTCACAACTAAATCCTTTAATTCTCAATAGCACACATTTTTAATTATAGTAAACAAAATCACAAGAACTATCACAGAAGTAACAAATAGAAATTTTGAAGGATGACTGAATGAATAAGATTCATCAACTGTGAAGAAAAGAGACATAATCTGAATGTGTGATAAGGTTGCATGCTTGTTTAATTTCACCATTCCACTTTAACACATCTTTGTTTTGAACCTGCTAATAGGGCATCTTTTTTTTAATTAGGAAAAGATTGTGAGAGTTTATAGTTACCAAAACAAGCAAATATTTTGTATTAAAACATTTTCCAGATCAGTGATACTAACGGGGAAAATATAGTGAGAGTAAATTGTTAGTAAAATGGTAAACTATTTTATATCAGAACATTTTATAGTTAAATGATATTATTCTTTACCAAAATCATTCATAATGACTTATCTGGACTATTCCAAAGAATAAAATTTTTTTTATTTTTTATATAAACTAGTTAGTTGATAACATTAATTTATCCTATTTGTTTCAGTCAGAAAATTATAACTATGATATTCAGAATTTCTATGAAACATCATGAACAGCTAGATAAAACAGATAAAATCATAACTATGATAAAGTTATTTTGTAATGGACTACTAACTTTTATAAAATTAAGTTTCAGTGTCTGCTAAGCTTCTGAAAAATCAGCATGTTTTCATAAGTGTTATCTCCAAAACTCCAAATGCTTAAAGTTTCCAAGTTAGGAAGCAAGCAGTAGGTTAACCAGTTTAAAAATCACCTAAGAGATATGGATTATTCTCAATAACAGACTTATATTGGTTTATTTAATGTACCATAATTTTTTAAAAGTGATTGCAGAGAAAAACTTGTTGCTCTTTCAAAGCTTTTTTCATTTTTCCTCCTCTTGTTCTCACTTTGTCAAAACCATGATTTGAATCCCGGATGGGAACAGACAGAAATTTCTAGTGTGTACTCACCAGCCTGGTTAGTGGTGATGCTGACAGCCGCAAACTGTCTTGGTGGGGAGCTCAGCTCAGACACCCCATTAATGGCATCAATCTCAAAGGTGTAGTTAGTGTGTGCCAGGAGGTCTGTCACTGTCACTGTGGTGTTGGTGAGTCCAAACTGTCGAGGGAGGAAGCGGACGTTCGGGCTGCATGGTTCACAGTGTTTTACATTCCACCCACATTTTTTACATATGATGTTGAAGGTAACATCTTTCCGGCCTCCTGTGTCCAGGGGCCAACTCCAGTCCAGAATAACCGAGGTTTCATTTATATTAGAGATAACATTTCTTGGTGCAGATGGAGGTCCTGAAAAGTAGTTCAACAAAGATTAATGAGCTTCACTTCTGTTTTCTACTACAAGGGAAATAGATAATTTACAACGGAATTGTAAGAGGTAAATAACCGTCTTGTCTTTATTATCTTCTTTTAATCTGTCCTTAGAGGATTCAGGAGATTACAGACACATGGATTCAAGAGCACTGTTCTCCCCAAGCTATGAAAAGGGGAGTTTGACTCCAAGTTGAAGATGTCTTCACAAAGTCTAACAAAGGGATTTACTGCTAAATGCAATGCCCTTGAGAATAGTTATGAAAACTTTAGTATTAGCTTTATAAATCTTAGTTCTTCTCCCTATGACCTACAAACGACCAACCTATAACAAGAAGGAATAGAAATGTAAAAACTCAAATCCCATGCCAATAACCTCCCCTACTCTCTCAAATGTAATGCAAGACCTAAAACAAGATATAGACATTTGTCTTTCTTTCTGGGGTACCTTTTGCTGGAAGTGCCTTAAAAACTACTTTTTTTGTGTGTGATAAATGTTGCATTTGTGGTGTGGCAGCATGAAGATTGAAGCAGAGAAAGCATTCAATTTGCACATGGATAACAGAAGAAAATGGGTCAAATGTTTAAGAAGCAAAATAAAACAAAACAACCACACAATCAAATTCAAACAAAGTAAAATAAAATAAACATGGAGGCATGGGTTGCAGCAAAACTACTCACGGGTACAAGCCATGGATGGAGGGTCTTTGTCTGCTCGGAAGTAATTATTCTCACACCTGCAGTTGACTGAACCATCTTCATAAGTAGAACTGTGAGGTGGACATTTGGCACATTTCATATTACCATCTGAAGACTTGTAGAAGCCTGGTCGACAAGCTATAAACAAAATGACTCCTTTAAAAATCTGCCATAATTTTTTAAAATGTAATGAAGAAAATACATAAAGTAGATTTGAAGATGTTGGGTCACGCCTTCATTCTAAATAAATTTTTCATTTTTCTCTACAAGAACTTTCAGAAGCAAATAGTAAAACTGGTGTAGTTTTTCTACATACATGTCTGAATTTGTACCAAATATTAAAAGAAAAAAGAAACCCACAAGACTTAGATTACTTTGGCAGTAGAATGTGATGAAATTTCCAGCTCATGTTTTCACAGCTTTACTTGGCATTAGAATATTTGTGGAGAAAATATAGCAAAGTCATGTCATCATGTAGGCATCTCCTTCTAAAACATGATGCAATGTATATATTATCTACACTGCAGTTAGCACTTTATGACATACTCACTTGTTTTCTAATTGCATACTGTATATATAATTTTATTCCACAAATTACAGGACACAAACAGAAGAAACCATTTCTTTATCCATATTTTAAGATTCTTGTTACATAGTTTTCAAAAGTTATGATTATTTTTCTGCCTTGATATTTTCATTCATTAGCCTCAAGCAAAGGACTGAAATAAAGATTTCAGTGTATTCCATCTCTACATATGAAATACATAAAAATACAGCTTCTATTGGGCTGGAGCTATAGCACAGTGGTAGGGCGTTTGCCTTGCAAGCAGCCAACATGGCCGACCCGAGTTCGATTCCTCCACTCCTCTCAGAGAGCCCAGCAAGCTTCCGAGAGTATCTCGCCTGCAGGGCAGAGCCTGGCAAGCTACCTATGATGTATTCGATATGCCAAACACAGTAACAACGAAGTCTCCAATGGAGACGTTACTGGGCCCGCTCGAGCAAATTGATGAACAACAGGAGGACAGTGACAGTGACAGCTTCTATTTAAACTGATACTCTTGTGAATTACTAGATTAAGAATTGTTAAAGAATTCTATACTACCTTTTTTGTTTTCTTTATTTTTGACATGTAACAAAATTAAGTGTTTTTTCATCATAATTGATAATAAATAATTGATTTTGCTCTCCATTCCATATTGAGTACTGCTTTTTTCAAGGAAGTAGGTCTAAATTATATTATTCTTGAAAAATTCAAAATATTCTTTACATTTGGTCAAATTTCACAATTATATTCTAAACTGCAAACTTAGAAAAAACCCTAATAAGAGGTATCTCAAAATTTCTCTCAGGAAGAGATTTATACTCTAATTTTTAAGTATAAAGTATATCTTCAGAAGTTGAATTTTATTCTAATCTGTAAAACAATTGCAATGATACACTGAGATTTGCGAAGCATGTACATATCAAACTAGCCTTACAGATGATCTTTTATAGACTTTCATAGCTTTTCATATCAACCACATATTGTAAAAGATTACCTGCATTAGAGTAAAATGTTTGTGAACAAAATTTAAACCTATGATCATGTAGAGCAATAAGTGATTTTAATGATTCTAATAGCATAATATTTTTGTGGGATATATTGCAAAGATAAACTATTAAAATAATAAATTATAGGTATCTAATGACAATGACATAGCTCAGGTAATTAACACACATGCCAGGCATGCACAAGGTCTTAACTAAGATTTCCAACACCACTGTCCCCTAGAAGTATCCCTCAGAGTGGCCTCTACATACAAGATAGAAGGGAAAAAGTGAAAATAAAATAATTTAAAATTATAGTAAATATTAATCTATTTTTATGCCACTAATTTCCTTCACATGGCTGCTCTACAACCATTTTACATCAAACTGAGCAATTTTGGGTGCCAATAAATTGCTACTTAAGTTCTGCTGCCTAAAGCAAAATGTATTAGGATTATAAATTTTTGAACAATGTCCTTATGCACTGGTTAGAATCTTCTACTGATATCTCATATCATATTGCCGTGAGGGAAATGATTTTAAGTATAAATAAACTATGTACTTAACTTCTGGTTTCAATTTCACTCATCACTGAGTGCCTTTAAGTTTTTAAGAGGGTGTAGCTGAGTCCTGTAAAGATTAACTCAAAGGACTCCAATGCACTTTGTTATTTTGTTTGCATGTACGCTTTATTGGAGGTTTTGTGATTTTTATAACATTTAATCTAAAGTTATTGGCTAAATACTCAATCATGTTTTGTTAATATTGGTTATATAGTGTGATACTTTACGAAAGGAAAAATATTCACGAATTCATTATCTAGCTTTAACACTTTAGCAAAGTTTCATCCAGTATCTTGAAAGTAATTTAACTGGAAGATAGAAGTGTGATTTATGTCTACTACCTACTTTTGATTAAATAATGCAAATGAAGTAAAAATACAAAAACATTGTCCTATATCTATATGTTATGTGTGTATATGTTATGTTATGTTATGCTATATATGTACTGCTATTATTTTTTTTTTTTGCTAGCCTTAAAGATATGAATGTTCCATATTATGTCCAGTCCCAAAGGGTACTTGCATTTATTTATTTGTTTTTGGTTTTGTCCCACATTCAGAAGTCATCAGGAGTTAGTCCCGGCTCTAGGTTCAAGGATAAGTCTTGGTGGGCTCAGGGGACCATGTGGGGATTGAACCCAGTTAGGCTACATGCAAGACAAATCTCTACCCATTGTACTATACCTTCAGCCTAGGGCTCTGTGCAATTTAAAGTTGCCTGAAGAAATTTAGTAGAGGCCCATATAAGAGCACTCCAATGTAACTGAGCTATCCAAAGAGATTCTACAGAAGGAGGATCATTTGAGAAAGATCTTGAAAAGGTAGTAGGAGAAGGACTGTAAGAAACTTGATTAAATATATTAATAGGTCTGTGAAGAGACAATATTAGGTAGAAGTATGTGATGGAGATTGTTAATAGCATACTGTGCAGCTAGACCTTGCTTCCTATTTTCTATATATACTGTTTTCTTTCCAAGTTTCCCTCAGCTAAGGGTTCCAATTCTGACTTTATTGCAAATAGGGATAGATGGCCAAAATTATGGTGAAAGGCTTTGGCGAAAAATATCTACATAGATATCTGATGACAGTTTTTGGGTTGCTTTTCTTTAATAAGATGATCCAAATGGAATTGAAATCACCCTATCTATATTGTAGCTCTCTTATGCCTATAATGACTTACATGACACAATAAGTTATAGGTCAAGAAAATTAGAGTGCTCTGTACCTTTCACTAGTTGATCTGTAAGAACCTATTCCAAGAATTCTTGTTAGGTCAGAAAGACAACACACCCTTATACATTATGCTTAAGTTGTATCCCCTTACTTTTCCCCTTTCAACAAAAGTAATTCTCAGTGAACTGGAGAATGGAGAGGTCAGCTGATACATACTAATTAATAGAATCATACTCTGATCGAGCTAAAAAGATTCTTGACTTGAATATTTTATAATTGAGGTCACTGGAGTCTGAAAAGTTCGATGCTGTGTAGAGACACTCTTCCTGCATCTTTTGGCACATGGGAGCTAGCAAATAGTCTCAAGCCATCAATATACAGTCACTGTATATAAACTATGTGTAAAGAGCAATGCTTGACTGCTTGACTAAACTAGATAGCATATATTTAAAATCTGCAGCCATATGACAGAATTCTGATTTATACATGATATGAATTATATTTCATTCTGATTTATGTATGCATATTCTGGTTTATCAAATACTAACATTATTCATAAATTTTGGGGCCCCAGGGTTGTAAAGATGACATGTCGTTAAAGAGTTAAGATTAGCTTATAGGAGGGGCTGGAGAGATAGATAGCACAGCAGATAGGGCATTTGCCTTGCATTCAGCCAACCTGGACTCGATTCCCAGAATCCCATGTGGTCCCCTGAGCACTGCCAGGAGTGATTCCTGAGTGCAAAGCCAGGAGTAACCCCTTAGCATTGCCGGGTGTGACACAAAAAGCAAAAGAAAATATTATATTATTTTATAGGAGGGAACTCTGTAAAGCTTCTGGGTGCTAGGAGCTGTTCCCTGCAGCTAGGTCTGCTATTTGGTCATCTAGGCTTATGTGTTAGGACCTAAGGATGCCATGCAACTTTGTTCCTGTGATGCCAGAGATTAACGGGGTCATCTTTGTGATGCTCAGAGTCTCCAAGGATATATACCTCACTATTGAATAATGCAGAATAGCCATGTTATGACATTTCATATTATCTACCTGACAACAAATTTGAAATTCTTGATGTGGAAACAAATCATTATTCCACTGGAGATGTTGCTCAGGTCTTATGCCTGGCTGTGCACTCAGGGACCACTTCTGGTGAGGTTATAAACACCATATGTGGTGCAGAGTATCAAATGAGGGTCAACCACGTACAAGGTAAGAGTCCTACCCACTCTGCTACCATTCTGGCACTGAAATCTTAATATTAACTAGACCAATTCTGCATGTCATTATTATTTTAGAAGTAGATATCCTGCTTTGAGAATATGACTACTAAGAAACTTTTCAATATACTATTTTCACATATCATCCCTAAATAATTCCCTGGCTTCTCTTTTACACTCCACATTTTAAGATGTTTTTCAAATATTACATAAAGAAAAGTACTGCAATGAGAGATACAAAATGAAATTACCTACTCTTTTCTATTAAATTGATATATCTTAAAACCTCTATGACTGTGTTTATCACTTTCTCTCTTGTAAATGGACTGGAAAGTCCATTTTATTAATTATTTTGTGTGCCACAGTCAAACTCTGAGCAATCAAGAGAGAAATTATTTCCTATTTATTTTGCATGCAAGGTATCTAAAATTTTCCAACACCTGGCTGTTGATCAGATGCATTTTAAGAGGGCATTATTCACTAGCAACTAATTGCCCTACCTAAGCATATATGTCCTCATTTATTAAATAATATGTTTTCAACTATTTTTATCTTAAAAAATCTCACCAGAATATATACACTGATAGTATGTACTTTGTGCCAAAGTATTTTTAATTTTTTCTAAGTAGATATATATATATATATATATATTCAGTAA